GAGCTGAAAGAAGAAAAAGAAATCGTTTATGATCATTTTAAACATTGTCTAAATTATCCAAATTCCGCAAGGCTTCCCAAAACGAATAGACAACTGACAAAAAAAAAAGAAAAAACTTTAAAATGAATATTTCTACACTCTTTTATGACTTTTGATTTAATAGCAATGGATGAAATTATAGGTTTATGATCGCTTGTTGTTGTTCCTTCATACGTTTGTAAATCGACAGAAAATTTGGAAGAAAGTGCATAGTCTATTACTCTATCCGATCTTAAGCTAGTCGAATTTTCTGGTGTAAAAGGTGATAAAAAACAAGAATCTGCTTACTCTAGAAACTCTTCCGCAATCTTACTATCTTCCTCTAGGTCTATATTAAAATCTCCAAACATCACTGACTTTTCATCATAGAACTGAGAAAGCTCCTCCCATATCCACGATCTACTTTCCGAACCATAAACTCCTATTAACCTTATTCTTTCTTCTAAGCCAAGGTCAAGAACGACGGTATTCGGGACTTCACAGCCCAAACGTTTAACTTTTATATCATTTCTGGTGAGAATGACAACACCTCCATCTTTGTTTTCACCTGCCTGATAAAAAAAGATACTTCTGAAAGAGTTGATAGAGAGAGGTAGAATCAAAACAACCAACTTCTAGAAGAACCATTATATCAAAACTGAATGAGAGACATAACATAAAAATTTCTTCGACTCTGAGGTCCTGCCCTTTTACATTAAACGACAAAACACTTAAGGAATTAGAAATAGAATAGAGATCCGATTTGACGTAATTTTCCCATTCTTTAAACAAAACCGATAGAAGAAAAGTACTCTCCCATTCATTCAAAATGCTTTGAAACATTAGAAAATCATAACGGCTCAAACACTCATTCGCTTGTTTCAACTTATTGTCTCTCACATAAAAACTATTTTCAGTTGCGCAAGAGAAAAAAGGAACAGCAAATGACGACAGTTTCATTTAAGAAATTGTTTACCTTCCACAATATTATTCAACCGTGCTCCGTAAATTTTCAGATGTGAATGTAGTGTTTCATCCAAATGTCTTCCATTATTTGTATTCTTCTCTCTAACAAATTTAATCAGATCTCGACAGAATGGGAGTAAACTATCCTTAGTCAGTTCTTCACTTTCATTAATTCTGGATTTAAACGTTTGATTTTCCATAGACAATACCAAAACGTTCCGTTTCAACTCTTCATTCGACTTTCTCATTTCTTCAAATTCAGACGATAATTTCTCTATTTTATCATTCAATTTCAAAATTATCGTATTCATTTTATCTAATTTATTTATTATTTCTGCACTCTGTGCAGTGGATGTATTTGTAACTGTTGTTCTCTGAGCTGGAGGTAGTTGTGGAAAATTTGACTGATCATACGAGTAAGTAGGAGACGAAGAAAGAGGTGCAAGATTATTATTACTATTTAATAGACGACGTGTAAGATCAGCTCTGAACTTTTTAACTTCACTACATTTCGTATCATCGCTAGCATGATTTTGCTTACAATGTATACAATACAGTTGTTTTGAGCATAAAGATAAATGCTGTTTTATATCAGAGACAGTCTGTCAACATTTACGACAAGTCTCACCCTTCTGTCGACGCTGACGACGAAAATGACCGATCGAACAGCATTTTCCGCAAATTAAAACTCTAGCTTGAGCTAGATATGCTTCCACGGGAAATGAAATAGAACAAGCACGCAATTTACCATCACTTAAAAGATTTTCTCTTTCCCCTGGGCTATTAAATTCTAATTTTACTAAGATAATTTCTTGTTGAAATCTGTTTTTCGTTCTTACAACATTTTCTAAACTACTAAACATTGATTTCAATTCTATGG